GGCTTCCTATCACCCCCCCAAATCAAATATAAAATCCTGTGTCTGACATTTAAAACCCTTTACAACTTGGCCCCATCCTACCTTTTCAATCTTACTGGAAAACTTACATCTTACTAATGTACCCTGGATCCAGGGACACCAAACTCCTTGTTGTTTCTTGAACAAAACACTCCCTTTCCTGATTCTGGACATTTTCTTTGGCTGTCCCCCATGCCTGAAAATCTATACTTCTTCATCTTTGCCTTCTGGCTTCTTTTAAGTCTCAGCTAAAACCCCACCTTCTATGCAAAGTGATTCCTGATTCCCCTTAATGCTAATCCCTTCCTTCTGTCAATCCTCTCCAATTTATCTTGCATATATCATGTTTATACATAGTTGTTTTCATGTTACCTACCATGTTAGATTGTGAGCTCCTTGAGAGCAGGCAATATCTTTTGCCTGTCTCTGTATCCCCAGCACTTAGCATAGTGCCTGGCACATAGTAGGCACTTAATAAATATTTGTTGACTGACTTGTTGCCTACTGTATATGAAAGACTGTCCTAGGTGCTATGGATATGAAATAGTGACTTCCCTAAAGGAGCTTCTTTGGGTTTGTGTGGTGGTGGTGGTAGTGATAGGGTGGGAAGTGGATATGGCTATTTAATACATACACAGATAAATAAATGCAAGGAAACTGTGCTAACAACTGAAACAGTCAGAGAAGGACTATGGCATCCAAGGTGATCCTTGAAGAAAACTAGAAATTCTAAGAGAGAGATTTGAGGAAGTATATTCTGAGCATGTTGGACAACTTGTTCAAAAGTAGAGAGATGGGAGATGGTATGCTAAGTTCAGTAACTATGTACTTGTCCATTTTGACTATACTGTGGAGTACGTAAAGGAAGTAATATAAAATAAGGCTGGAAAAGTAGATTGGAGCCAGACTATGGAAGGGTTCAAATATCAGGCTGAAGAATTTATACTCTGTGGTGGGGGCAATAGGGAGCCCCTAAAAGCTTTTGAGTAATGGAGTGCCTAACTCCAATCTCTCTGGCTTAGGAACATTGTTTTGGCCACTGTGTGACAGCAACATTAGAGAGGGGAAAGCCTGGAAACAGGGAGACCAGTTAAGAAGCTATTGAAATAAACCAATTAACTCTATCTTGAATTAAACTGTTTTTCTTTTTTTTGAAGAAGAAAAATAAATGTACTAGAATCACCTAATACTGCTGTTGCCAACCTTATTTAAATGGATCTGTGATAACAATGATGTAGGTATTCCATTCAATGATGCATATTGTAACCCATCCATGCCTGTGCATCCTGTTCAACTCTCATCCATAAATTTGCCACAAGGTACAGTACAGTTTTCAGCTGCCAGCACAGTTATGCTTGGCTACCACTAAGTTTATTGGCTTCTGTAGTTGGTTCTAAGGGAGGAGACGAGCATTTCCCAGAAAGTACGAGAAAGAAAAAATTGTTTCACTTAGAGGAATCATTTCCAAATAAGGAATGGAAGAAAAAATGACTAAAAAGCAGTCTTATACATTGAGGTTTTGTGTTTAAAACATCACTCCTTTTTTTTTCATAGATTATCTCAATGATTCTTTCACCTTTTTCCATAAAAAAAATCACCATATATGAATCAGAACCAGATTCTATATGTCCTGTCTTCTTTTCCCCCTTTCTCTTAACTTTGGTGCATTGTTAACCATACTCTACCCCACATCCCCCATAGGATCACAGATACAGAGCTATGAGGGACTTCAAAAAATCATCTAGTCCAACACTACCCGTCATTTTACAGATGGGGAAACTAAGGCTCACAGGAGTTCAGTGATTTGTTTAAGGTTACTTAGATAGTAAGTGGCAGAGCTACAACTAGAATCCAGGTCCCTGGACTCTAAATTCAGCCCTTCTGCCAGTATATCCCTCTTTTTCCATGAACACCTTTTATTTTTGTGCATTTTTTCTTTTTGCCTGATTTGTTTTTCTTTAATCTTTGTAAATAGTATTTTATTTTTTCCAATTACATGTAAAGAATTTTCAACATTCATTTTTTATAAGATTTTGAGTTCCAATTTTTTCTTACTCTCTCCCTCGCTTCCCCCCTCCCCAAGACTACAAACAATTTGATATCGGTTATGCATGTTTTTGCACAGATTTCAAATCAGATCAACAAGTATTCCTTAAGTATTTACACGGATGGTACTGAGAAAGAGGTAAAATTTAAATTGCATACTACTGCTATCTTGGAGCTGGTAGATATTAGGGGTGGTAAAGCACCAATACAGAGAGCAAAATAACAAGTGGGCCCCTAGAAGTTCTAGCTCTGAGGATCCTCACCATCTTCTCAGTTTTAGTGTAGGCTATTTTGGGTACTAAATTCTATAAATCAAATCCCTAGCCCTACCAGTGCAACACTATTTACAAATCTTATATGCCATAAATCTTATTTTAATTTTTTTAACAATTAAATTTTTTTTAAAGTGCAGAAGCTTTTTTATTCTTTTTTTATTTTAGTTCTAAATTCTCTCCCTCCCTCTCCTCTCTCCCTCACCCAATGAAAAAGCCAGAAGAACAAACCCTATTACAAATATGTACAGTCATGCAAAAGAAATTTCCATATTAGCCATGATGAATCTTGTCTAAAAAACCCCACTGAATTAAGACATAAAAGCTAGGCAAACAATAAGAGGATATAAAGTGGTAGAATTATTTTCTGCCCCTATAGACAAATTTATTTGGCTTGTCTCTGTACCTGCAACCTCACTGTGGCATGGAAATAAGCCCAAGTATATGTGGCATGGAAGTAATATGAATATATGTGTCATGGAAACAACCCTAAGTCTATGCTAGCAGAGCACAAGTTTTGATAGGTCTTCCCAAACTAGAAAGGCTTCACTATAGGCCTAGTGACAAACTGTGCTTATTGTTTGAGGATCAGCATAGTTAACTTAATTTTTTTTTTTTTTTTTTTGCTTTTTTGGTGAGGCAATTGGGGTTAAGTAGCTTGCCCAGGATCCCATAGCTAGTAAGTGTCAAATGTCGGAGGTTGGATTTGAACTCAGGTCCTCCTGACTCCAAGGCTGGAGCTCTATCCACTGGCCACCTAGCTGCCCCCATAGTTAACTTTAGAAAGATTATTGCCAGGATGAAAGTTTTTTGGCTACAGAAATAATTATTAAAGACCATCTGTGTTAAAATTTCCTTGTTCTGGTCCCTCTGACTACCTTTCCTCTACTTCTAGTCAGTATGGTAAGTTTATTAGCAGTTAGTATAAAATAGGGCAGCTAAGTGGCACAGTGGATAGAGTACCAGGCCTGGAGTCAGGAAGATTGCTCTGAGTTCAGACACATACAAGCTGTGTGACCCCGGGCAAGTCACTTAAACCTGTTTGCCTCAGTTTCCTCATCTGTAAAATTAACTGGAGAAGGAAATGGCAAACCATTTCAGTATCTTTGCCAAGGAATGAAGAGTCAGACACAACTGAAATGACTCAACAACAACCATAAAGTAACGATAGCCAGAAGTAAGGTTGTAAAGGGAACCTTTGGGACCAAAGGGACATAATTTACTAACTGTATCATATAGTAAGCAAAAATCACATCCTGGTAATATGTGTTAAATCAAGGAAAGCATCTAGTCTTTGCTCTCAGAGCCTTTTGTTCCTATGATACATGATCTCAGATGAGTTCTCAATAGACATTGACATTAAAAATACCAAATGTTACTGATAACTTTGAGATGACCCAGCTACTTTCACTTCAAAGTTTTACTGGCAACTTTGAGATGATTTGGATATGTTAATGAACTAACCCAAAGATGGCACAGATAAGAGTTAGTCTGTGCCTCTCAAAAAACCCTATAAAAATGAGACCTCAAATTCCTGCCCCCTAGCACTCTTTGCCATTGCCATCTGGGTCCATGATGCCAAGTACTCCCAACTCCAATACATAGTTATGTGAGTTACTCTCTGTTCCTCCTCCCTGACATCCTCTTCCTTATTCTGGCTGCCTTCCTCCATCACCCCATACCCTCCTGGAGTCATCTGCCTCTGTATGTCTTTCAACTTTTATCCATTTGTCTCTGCTTTCTGAACCTTTTGCCCCTATACCCACAGTGTCTTATTAAAGTGTGATTGCCGTCTCACTTTCCACTGCCATCATGGTCTTTCCCAGTAAGTATCCAAAGAACTAGGCATGCCTGGAAGCCTGGAAGAAATACCCAAACCAATGAAACCATAGATACTTAAAGAAATGAACAACTTGTCTCACCTGACATGCATCCACATGGGTGCACCTATCTGAAAAAGAAAGCCCTTCCGGCTTTCTGCATGCTGGAGAAAGATGGCATGCAGAACCACAGGCCTAGAGTTAGTTTCTGAGCTTATCATCCTCCTCTGATTTTAGGAACTATTTGCTAGCCACTGTGGCCTGTGGAACTGTGGGTAAGCTAGAACTCATGAAGACATTCAGAAGAATCAAGACCTATTAAAGAACTACCATTTGTTACCTGCTCCAGAACTAAAAAGGACAAACAAAACAGAACTAAACAAAGCTCCAACCCCAAGCTATAAAGTGAAAGGTGAGAGGAGAAGGTAGCCCCTCCTACCACCCATTCTATTCATGGTCCCCATCCTGTGGGTGAACTTTACTTTACCCTTTCTGGACTCTAGCTGTGGAAAAGAGAGCATGACTGTCTTAGACTCATAGTTTGAGATGGTCAGATGGACAGAACTGGCTTCTAACCTGTGGATGGCCAGAGCTGAGTGGAATACACTAGAGATAGGAGAGTCAGCAAACAGAAGTTTAATTTCAAAGTAGGGAAAAGGCTTGCAAGCAAGGAGGGAGATTAGACACATGTGCCTGGGCCCCACCCCCAAGTGGGTGGACCACGTTAGTATGGCCAAATCTCAACACTTATACCAATTGACTATGCAGTGAGCTATAGCCCTGACAATGAGGGGTAACAACAACAAGTCAAGTTTGGCTCATAGCAGGGCATTATGACCGGAACATGGATACAGCAGGTGTTTGTCCAAGCTCTGAGAACACCTGGTGCTGGTCAAAACAATACACTAATTACATGATTTCGCCAGAGGATGACATCATTCACAGGGTGAGAGCGAAGAATTGTTGTTATGCCAAGCTCAGGGCACAGCTTGCTTGCTGGGCCTTAGCTCAGGGAAACAGTGTGTTTCCTAATATCTTGACAAGATGCAGCCTGTTCTAGCCACACAACCAATGAAAAGTGGCTACTCCCACAATATGGGAGGGGAACACAGAATGGCCTCTAGAAGTAGGTCTCTGGCATGTCTCAGGTGGTTGCCTACATTTTAGGTGGTCTGGCTGGTCAAATGCAAAATAAAACCCCAGTTATATACACGTCTCTAACAGGCTTATTTTTGGAAGAAAAAAAAAAGAGCTGGAATTTTTTTGAGTGGGGAAAGGGAAGATGGAGATGGGGTAGGAAGCAAGAAGTATGGAATAGCAAACAAATGCAAACATAAGCTGTTTTGTTAATTGTTTTATAACTGCAACAAACCAGAAGAAGGATTCCTGTAAAACAATAATACAATAAAGGGCTGAAATATGTGAATGTTCCTGTGACAAGGCTAAGGTTTTATGTCTCTAGTGTTTGGAATTTAAGCTGCTGTCTTTTCAGTGGATGATTGGGTAGGTACATAGCCCAGAAGTGTCAAATTGGAGCCTGCAAAAAACTCTGGAGTGAAGCCTGAACCAGATTAAAATGTAATTGGGAAATGTTTACCAAAATGAATAAAAATATAATACAACATAGATAATACTAATTTGTGGTTTTCTGCAGCCTGCAGGGATCTGTTTTTATTTGAGTTTGACACTATTGGTACAATCCATGCTCTTCTAAGACCTGAACAAAAAAATTGAAACTTGGCCCAGGTAGAAGGAGATGAAGTGTTTGTTTAGTCTCAGGTTTCGGATAATTGTTGATGTTCCTCTCCACATTATAATGCCTGATGGGGCTGTACTTTTTGTCAAACTCCTTGATAAGGGCTGTTACTCTGTGTTATACTTCTCCTGAACCTGAATACCACAATCCACCGAGTCATAATGAATGTCTTCTTCTATGTTTACATTTTAAATTACGGCCTTTTGGTCACAATCAGTAAGTGTCATTATGAAGCAAAATTGGCTAGACGTTCAGTTTGGTTTTTTTTTTTCACTTGCTCCTCTGCTGAAATTTGGGGAGGAGCTAAATCCCCCTAGAAGACACCTCTCTCCTCCAGTGGTGTCAAACTGAAATTTGTTTATTTTCTTAAACATTTCCCAATTACATTGTAATCAGGTTCTGGCCAGAGTTCTGGCCTCTTTTGCCCTTGGGCACAGTTTGACATTTTTGGCTAGACAAAGACCTTCCTTTTGATCTACACCTCCACCATCTCATTTTTGTGTAATAGGCCCAAGCTTTGCTCAGGCTCTCACTTTCTGGAGACCTGAATTTGTCTATAATAAAGACTAGCTCCCTAGCCTAGGGGAAACCACCCCATCCTGACCCCAGTCTATGTGGATCTCTTTTTCTGCTATTTCAGAGAGTTTATAAATGCAGATTATTAATTTTTTTAAAAGCATCAGGATAAAATGCTCCTGCATATAACTCTGGAACCACCAGGTCAGAATCAGATTCTGACAGTCAGGTCTGACAATGCTTAGTAACTGATCCCCTAACCCAATAGTTTCTCAAGTTGTTCTAAGAAGCACTTTCAACAACCAAAAAAAAAAGTGTTTGAACCCTCAGAGTAATTTAATATACTACTTATCAATTTTCTTAGATTTATTCATTAAGAGCTTATAATAATTACAATGTCCAAAAAAGTTCCAGATTAAAATTTACATTATATAATTGTGAGACATGAAATTTTATTCTACCAATAATTATGAAAACTCTAAATACAAAATTATAAAATAAACACTTGTAACATCTTGATCATGCGATTATACAGCTATTGGAATGTGATTACAAGATAACAGAGAGGAACAAGACAGCTACTCTGGTTCAGTGTATAGAGCACAAATGAAGGGATACACATGAATCTTACCATTCCTTGGGTGATTTGTGCTGTTTGTGGTGGTTTGGAAACAATTTGATGATGGCTGGTTGAGAAACTGCAAGAATACTTAGTAAGAAGCAGTCAGAATTTCACGCAATTATTTACTGCTTAGGGAAGTAGGCAGTTGGTGGCACAGTGGATAGAGCACTAGACTTGGAGTCAGGAAGACCTGATTTCAATCCAGCCCAAAGCTGACCCAGGGCAAGTTACTTGACCTCTGTCTGCCTCAGTTTTTTCATCCATAAAATGAGAATAAGAATAGCACCTACCTCCCAGGGTTGTTGTGAGGATCAAATGAGATAATAATTGTAAAGTGCTGAACACAGTGCCTGACACATAGTAAAAGCTATATAAATGTTAATTATTATTATTATTAAGGTACCATTAAAGAATTTTTAGCTTGAACTCCTTGGATCATCCTCACGTGATGGGTCTTCCCTAACCAATATTTTGGTTCTGTATATCTTGGCTAGTCACCACCTCCTTTTTTTCTAATATATTTTTCCTTTGGAAACGTTTGTCTTCAATGATAGCAATGAGGAAAACACAGCCTGAGCCCCTAGAGTCTTCAGTTCCTTTCTTAAGACTTCATAGACTTTGACAACACCTTATAGTTTTCTTTTGGCAGTATCATATACACCTTGGGAATCACCAGAAGAGGGTAGTAGTCATATGTTTTGACTAGTCTTAATAATTTCTATTCTATGTCTTTAAATACATTTCCTAGGAAGACAATAGCCATCTCATTAGGTGGACTAATAGCTGTCTCAGTACCCCTGAGCAGGGTGTCACCAAGCACCATACCATTACCCCTCTCTTCTTCCTCTGGCTCTTACTGGACAACCTCTTATTTGATAATTTCTGTGGTTCTACTTTATTCCTTGGCAAACAAAGAGTTGCTTCCTCTTTAGAGCATCCTGCTTACCCTTCAGAAGAGCCTCAAATTTGTTATTTTAGCTCCAAGTTTATAATTGTCTTTTCCCTCTCTTCCTCCTCTATGTGATACGCTTCCACTCTCCAACCTCTCTTCTCTAGGGTCAACTTTCTCCCCAGTCACTTCAGATCCCTTCCTTCCTCCTCTTCTCCCAACTGGAGCTCTGTTTCCATTTCTTAAAGGAAACATTTCAGTATCTCTGATTACCTGGAACATAGAAGCCCTTCTTTGAGGAGGGAGACACTTAGAACATAGATAGCAGTCACTTGGCTATGTCAGAAATGCAAACATTGCATACTCTATACAAGGGATATGGACAGAGATTGGCCCTGCAATTTCACTCGTATAAGGAATTGCCTGTACCAATGCAGATTGGGACCTTCTCTGCCATTTACAATCTCAGAGAATTGCCAAGAGCACTGAAAGTTTAAGTGGCTAGTACTTACCCAGTGTCATATAGTCAGTATGTGGCAAAAGTGGGACCTTTCTGTTTCCAAAGTATGCTCTTTATCCACTGTGTCATGCTACCTCTCATTCAATATAAGCCACTACAAAATTCTCTCTGTCCTCTCTACTGGTTGACATTTTCTGTCTTGAACTATGAGTGAGTGATTACACCTTATCCCCCAAGCACCTCACTAAAATTTTTACAACCTTTAAAAAAAACATTTAATAACTTGATATCCACACCCAACTATTTCTTTTTCTCTAAAACAACTTGACAGCCACACTCAGCCTTATTCTATGAAACTTTTGTTTCATTAACCAATTTGTTTTGTTTAGCTCTTCTTACTTTACCTTGCAAACTTCAGTATATAGATTGCTGGCCTGAAATCAAGAAGACCCGAGATTAAATCTAACTTCAGACATTTCTTTATTGTATGATCTGGGCAATTCACTTAATTTCTGTCTATCTCAGTTTCCTCAACTGTAAAATGGGGATATTAATAGCACCTACCTCCCAGAATCTTGTGAGGATCAAATGTGATATTTGTAAAGCATTTAGCACAGTGCCTGGCACATAGTAGGTGCTATATAATTGCTAGCTATTACTGTTATCATCATCATCATCATCATCATCATCATCATCTTCTTTCTCCTTCAAACTTCTTTCACAAAGGACAGAAGCTAAAAGTAAAACCTGAACCTAAAGATTATCCTTCTCCAGATTTTACTCTATTTCTCCCAAATTTCTCTTCCCCAAACTTGATTTCTGTTCTTTTCAAGTCCAAACCCTTCCAAATCACTTTCATAATTTCATTCCTATCTTTATATAGCTCAAGTACTTTCTCTTTCTCCTGCTCTTTTCCCCCACAGAAACAAGAAGTAAAATGTAAATTATTTTGGTTGATAAAGTCATCCCTCATGAGCTTGGTTAGAATGATTCTGTTTCTCAGACCTAACCAACTCCCTGTTGAACTGATAAAATTAAGCCTCTGAACCTGTATTCTAAGAATTAGACCTTGGACTCCAGCAAAGTACAAATATGTTCTGTATGTTTGAAAAGCCCATCAGTGAGGTTTTCTCTCTCACTAACTCCATTTTAACTTTAGTAAAAACTATCTTAATATTGAATTTTTGTTGATTAATGGTTGAGACAACTTGTCAATAATTAAGTGCATATAAGAACCTTTCTTTTAGACATTTTAAACTAGATGTCCTATGGGCATCTCAAATTCAATATTTCCAAAGCAACATGATGTGGTCTAGGAGTGCTAGGAACCCCAAAATGCAAGGGTACAGGGCAGGAGTCTGCCTCAAAAGAATTTGACCACTCAAGCCTTCTTTCAGTCCAAGTAGTGAGTTTATTAAGACACTAGTTGGGTGGGCAAGATTTCTAGTGAGTCTGCCATATTTGTGATGCCAATACAAGCAGGTCAGATTTTAAGAATCTGCACATTTGATATTTTTATACAGAAAGACTGTGGGAAGATCTGGATGGGATTAAGAAGTGGCAAGTAGCCTGGGGTGGGTCAGGTGCCTTGGGCAGAGGCACCAGTGATCAAGGGTACTGAAATGTATGGGAAAATTCAGGAACTGGGTTACTTTCAAAGACATGGTCTTTTCCTTTTAGGAGTTCAGATCCCTCCCATCAAT